AGTGCATTGAACAACTTACATTTTCTTAGTTTGAAATCCAAACATGAGAATGGGGGCCAACTGATGATACGGACTCTACAATCTAACACGGACTCTAGTAGACATGGGAGTCAAGGAGTTGGATAAGCTACAATTAATAAAGCGACATGGATAAAGAGTAGTTCTCCGATCCGTATTGAACAAGTAAGGAGAAATTAATTCCCTTGTTAAATACTACAACCTACCCTATAAAAAGGGTAGTAAGCCAATTCAAAAGGTACGCCAAATATCCCTAACAGAGTCCATTCATCTTCTTGGTTCTATACTAACTTGACCGTCGGAGACTCTTAAGCCGGTACCTCACCTGTACCTTTCCGATAACTTATTATGTTCTCTGCAGGTTACGACGTCGTTATGGGTCATGACAGAATCTTGCATCATCAGTTTCATTTTTAGCGGAGGTCCGTGTAAACTCCCAAACCAAAGAGGAGGTTCCTGTAATTATGGCAAACCATAGGGGAGGTCCGAGTAAATTACCTAATTCAAATTCATACTTCCTTTTACTTTGCTTTAACATACAGTTGCCATAAGCCAAACCTCTTTCATTTAAAATTCATATTCTTAGTTGTGTAGGGGTCTCGTATCTAATTATGAATCATGTTATTGAATCATATTATTATTTGTAATGGGTAGCAGTTTGTGATTTATGTTATTGATTGTGTTATTTATGGGATTAACCATAACGAGATTGTATTTGTGATTTATGATACTAATTATATCGGATTATTATAGGACATGTGATGTTAATGAATTTAATCAATTTAAGTGGTTTATAGAATTCATGTTATTGTTTTAATTGTTATAACAATTACAATAAATGGTACTATGATTTTAATCACGTTTTTACGGTATTTATTATCTTAGATTGATCTATGACTGTTTATATATGTTATGTCATTGTTAGATATGGCTATGATGAGATTGATGAATATAAATGATGAAATCATTGAGATAGCTAATAAGTTAGGCTCCTTGATATTTTGTGTCATTGTTAGATATGCCTTTGATATTTGATGAGTAGGTGGGCTGGCTAATAAATCAAGACACACTACATTGTGCCATTATTAAATATTGTTTTATTGATGATGCATTTTATATATATTATTATGTGAGCCATGATACGAGCTTAAGGTCTCAGGATCAATGGTTAGGACTGAGACGTATATTGTCGGAGACAAGTAGCTTGTATAAGTGACTAGTGGGCCCTAGTAGTATAGGTGACTCTTGACCACTTTATATGCGATTTTTCAGGTGATACCTTCTATCAGGTTGAGGTTGCCTTATACATAGTGGAAAGTCTGATAATGCGTATATATGTATTGACTATGTAACTATTGTATGAGTTGGCTAGAGATGTATCGCTTATCGGTTCTCTGATTAGGTTATTGTAGAAAGGACTTGTTTGTGGGTTTTGACTCACTTTTGTTATATTTTTTAGGTGCTTATCAGTTCCAGTCTTAGCGGTTGTTCGTGCTGATCAGGGAACATTCATCTTCACTTTTCCGAAGTCAGAGATGTAGGATACTATCTTTGTATAGTTTACTTTGTAGACTTTGGTATCTTTACATTTCAGTTATCTGTTTTGATTAGGGGTCCATGATATGGATTCCCAAGTTGTATTATGGAAGTTTATTCCTTATGGGATTTATTGGAGTATTGGTATAAGATGATTGAGAATTTATTAATTATTATTTTAGTTTTCCCATTCAGCGAATATTTATTTATTTTTATTTCATCTTATGTTTCGTGCTTGTTTTAAATATTAATTGTTTGATATCCCTGGGTTTTCGGGTGTGGGCTTGGCCAACCTATACATAAAAATTCGAGGGTACCACATTCTACAGCTAGGCAAAAAAATCAATGGAATGCAAGTGAAATAAAGGTTAAAGCTAAGGCAACAATGGAGGTCGTGGTGTGAGGAGGAAGATGAAATGTAGAGACAAAATGGGATAAGTATGATACTTTGCTAAAATATCACAAAACACACACTCTATCATTACCTCTCACACACATGCACACATCTCCACCCTACATTTGTTACTCATTTAAGCCCTACACATGTCATAAGTCTCTATAATTGTACAAAATCCCAAAATGAAAATATCTCAAAAGATAATCGCACAAATGCCTCAAAATGAAAATATTCCAAAAGATAATACTGCAAAATCCCCAAAATGAAATATGATGTCCAATATGTTCCAAATTAAATATATATCCCATATATCCAAAAACAAACAAATGAAAAGTGTTGAAAAAAAAAAAAAATTCCAAACACTTGACCCAACCCAGTCTCATTTGACCCGAGACCCGAAAATGTCGAAAAAAGAAAATTGGAAAAAATGAAAAAACAAAAAGAACAAGTCCTTACACTTCTTAATGGTTATCGTACGTCCAACCATCCTCAAAATTATACTCTCAAAATTGACATCAAGAAGGCTTTTGATACAATCCACTGGCAGTTCATTATTAATGTCTTGTTGGTGTTTGGCTTCCTAGTCCAATTTGTTAACTGGATATCACAGTGTATTACAACAACATCCTACTCCATTTCTTTTAATAGGGAATATTTGGATTTTGTAAAGGCAAGAAAGGGGTCGGACAAGGTGATCTAATATCACCAATGCTATTTGTTATGGTAATGGAAGTTCTCTCACTATCCATTACTAATCACATTAGCCTAAACCTTGGGTTTAAATTTCATTGGAGGTGTAGTAAATTGTCCATTACTCATCTTACTTTTGCAGATGACATCATGTTGTTCTTCTTTGGAAATTTACCTTCTATTCAAGTGTTGTTTTCTGATCTCAACCAAATTTTGTCCTCCTTTGGATTGACATTGAATAATCCAAATGTTTGGCTTTCCTCTCTGGGTTGATAATACTACCAAGGCAGCCATCCTTAGTCTCCTACAGTTTGAGGCAGGTTCTCTACCTATCATTTAACTTGGAGTTCCATTGTCCTCTTCTGCAATCAAAGCAAGGGATTGCCAATCTTTAGTTGAGAGGATTACCTCAAGAATTGGTAAATGGACTTCAAGGTTCCTCTTATATGTTGGGAGAGCAGTGCTAATCAAGTCTATCATTTGTTAAATACAAGTTTATTGGTCCCAAGCTTTTTTGTTACCTAAGAAGGTTTTTAACCAGATCAACTAGATTTTGAGATGTTTTTACTGCTCTGGAGTTTATTTAAAGAAGAAGGGGGCCAAGGTGGCTTCGACAGCTGCTTGCAAGCCAAAAATTCATGGTGGCTTGGGATTCCCTAACCTTGAACTATCAAATATTATAGCAAATCTCAAGCATATTTGGAAGTTATACATTAAGAAGGACAGTCTTTGGGTAGCATAGACTTATAGGTACCTCATAAAGGCTAGAAGTATTTGGACTATCAGAACTTCATCTTTAAGTTTTGACTTTTGGAGGAGATTACTTAAGCTTAGGGATATGGCTAAAGGTCTAATTAGACACAGAGTGGGTACTACTGGCATAGACACAATGATGTGGTTGGATTATTGGCTACCTAATGGACCCATTGTTACTTAGCTAGGTCTCACTAAGGTGAAAATTCTTCAACTGGACACTTATGCCCCAATTGATAGCTTAATTTCCATCTTTTAGTGGGAGATTTCTCCTTCAATTCAGCACTCATGGTTCTTCCAATCTCAAGACTTCACCTCCCAATTGCAGAATATCTGATTCTCAAGATTCAATTGAATGGTTGCCTAGCCCTAATCTGGTTTTCTCGATGGCTCATACCAATAGTTACTTCACTCATCCTTCAATTATTTTTGCATGGCATATTTTGATCTGGTTCAAGTATCATATTCCTAAGCATGGATCCATAGCTTTTTTGGCTGCTAGAAACAGATTATACACTCTCTACTCTAAGTCAATGCTCTACAAGCATTACACAAATGCTTGTTACCTTTGTAACTTTGATTTTGAAACCATATATCATATATTCTTCAAGTGTTCATTTAATTATGCTATTTGGAGGTTCATTTAGAATGTTGCAAGGTTTTCATTTCAAGCCAACACATGGTCTGAACTGTTAGTTTGGTGCTCAGAACACTGGCCTCCATCCTCATTCACATTTCACAGGTTGCTTGTGTCTGCTGCAATATACGTTATTTGGTTGGAAATGAATGCTAGAGCATTTAGAAACATGTCATCTTCTTCTCAACACATCATCTGTCAAATTAAGTCGTGTTAGAGCAAAACTAGCCTCAATTACTCTCGGAAGTGGAGCTAGTCTTAATCATATCACAACACATTGACCTCCAAAATCTCTTTTCCAAGGGCTGCTCCAAAGCTGGTGGTCTAGCTCATTCCTAGTTGATTTAGCTTGAATGACTTGTTAGTGGCTAGTTGCAGTATGTTTTACAGTTTGGTAGTTTTATTGTTTGGTTGTTACGTTGGTGCAGGCTTGTTGCCTTGCTTCTTGTTTCCTCTTTGCGGTTTTCCCTCTTGGGAACTCTCTGTACTCCTTCTCATATACACAAGCTTCCCTTTTATACTAAAAAAATAAAGGATAATGCTTAGCTACTCACCGGTGAGTAGCTTCACCCTACTCACACCTTGTGTGTTCCAATAATAATTTACCACATCAGCTTTAATAAAAAAAATAACCCAGGTCATCCTGTATTTTCTCGGATCAACCATTAAATAAACGTGGGTTATTTTTTTTATTAAAGCTGATGTTGTAAATTGTCATTGAAACACGCAAGGGGTGAGTAGGGTGAAGCTACTCATCAGTGAGTAGTTAAGCACTATCCAAAAATAAAATAAAAATTGTTCATACCCTCTAAATTTGGGCCCACATTGAGGTCATATGGCCGAATGCCTTTTGACTAAATACAAGGGTCCATTAAGGACTTTCTATATTTGGCAGCTACCACAAATAAAAAAAAAAAATTAAAAAAAAATTAAATGTTGGATCACCCAATTTCCTATGACAAATTAGAATACTAATCAACCCTTTTTCAAATGATAGAAATAGATGTATAAAATAACAAACCAACCTAACTGAAAATCAGGAAAAAGAAAAAGAAAATTAATAATTAGAACTGCATAATTACACTACATTATTAAATCAAACCATCTTGAAAACTATTGAATTAATCTAAACTAAGGCTACAATTGAGAAGAAAGAAGAAGACCTATTGAATCAAAAAGCAGACTAATGACACCCACATGATGATCATTTTGAACTAAATAATTTCAGAATATGTATTTTAAATTAATGATGCAAATGAGATGCAGAAATTCATGAATCAGAGACTAGAATTGCATCCCAGATCATGTCCATGTCCAAGGATGGCATTCTACTTAGCTGAACAGCATCAACATCTGATACCACTTCTTGAGTCCTCTTACTCTCAATCACCGTCTTCTCTGCTCCAACTTGCCTCGCTTTTCTTGTTGAATTTTGGCTCATCAAACCTTTGAGCACTACTTTTGAGTCCTCTGTGATCAAGTGCTTCTTTGGTGACATTGGTGGCGGATCAATTACTGTCTTCTTGCTAGAAAGTCCTTTTGATATTGCTTGCAGCTTCGCCTCAAGAAGCGCAGCCGTGGTACCATTTGTGGAACTGACCTTGAGTTGATGCTTCAGATCCGGGAAGTTCAAATGCGCATAATCTCCCCTTAGTATGTAGGCTGCTGTGTCATATGCAAAAGCAGCTTCTTCAGCTGTGTCGAACGTCCCCAACCATACCCTTGTCCGGTTTCTCGGTAACCTAATCTCAGCCACCCATTTCCCCCAGTGCCTTTGCCTCACTCCCCTAAACAGCTTCCTGGGAGATGACAAAGAAGACTTGAGGTGAGTACTCTGCATTGATCTTCTCCCTGCAGTGTGCTTCATCGGCTGTGTTTTCGTCGTGCTGAGCCAGTAGTCACCGGAACCTTTTGAGTGACAGTTTGTTGTGTCTTGATTTAGTCTTAGCCACTCAATCCCTGTATGATGAAGCTGGCTCTGGCCAAGTTGGGACATGGGAAACAAAGGGCTGGGCGAGGTTGATGACATGGGTTGATCATGCAAAAACAAACTTAGATTTGGGGATTTTGAGGTGGAACTTGACAATGAGTGTGGTGGTGAAGATGGTGCTACAGGCACTTGATGAGCATGGTTCATCTCCGGAAAGGATTTCAAGAAATTCACAGGAATGGAGCTGTTATCTACACGAGAAGCAAATCCGGAAATAGACGAATCTGGATTGGTGAATTCTGTAGCGTTATTACTACTACTCACGGTTGTTGCAGAAGCTTCATCTACAGAAGAAATGGAGTTGGAGCTCGAAAACAATCTACCGGGTGATAATGGCGACGATTTCAAGCTAACCCAAATCACAGGATCAGCAAAAAATCTAGATCCTGTTGCCATTTCTTGAAAATAAGATGGCAGTTCCTTTTGCATGAAGTTTTCCATCTTAGGCATTTGGTTCTCCATGCTAGTATAAAAATTTGAGAGGAAAGGAAATAGAAGATAGATATGATAGAAATGAAAGGCACTATGAGTACATAATATTGTTATGTGATGAGAGGTATCTTTTAAGTCACTTTAAAAAGCAGGATGAAAAGAAAAGAAAAAAAATAGAAGACCTACTTTGTGCTCACAAAGACAAAGGGGAAGTTATCATCTGAGTCAGATCTGCTTGTTCAAGAGAGAGAATAGATATATATATATATATATATATATCATCTTCAACTCTTCCACGCATTCGTGCTTTCCATTCTCGAGGTTGTATGTTGATAACCAATCAAAACCTGACAGCTCATGTTTCCTTGTTCCATTGCCTTCTAGGGTTAGATGGGATGGAAATTCTTCAATGACAATGACTCGAAGAAGCTCAAGACTTGGCTTTATTTTGATGGCATTATTAATTTTGGTGGTACCCATATTTTATTTTTTTTAATCAATGATCATGTGATTTTCTCCAAACCCACATGTTCCTTTGCACTTTTACTTGCTTAATTGAATTTAATATAATGTTTAGACTTGTTAATATCACAAGATATGTATTTCCTCTCTCTCTCTTGGAATCATTAACGTCACCAGTTGTGCTAGTACGAATAGTTTCAATGATTTAACATAATGAGTAAATATTTGTTAATTGTCTAGCCATTTCTATGTGCCTAGAGAAAAATACTTTAATATATATATTTTTCTTAGTTGATAATAGCACATTCATGCTCGAACTCCTAATTACTTTTTGAAAAGTAAAGATCTAGTACCATTGGGCCGCTGACTCATTGATAATACTTTATTTTTAAAATACTGATGATATAGGATTAGTTAAATACTGAATAAATCAATACAAATAAAGAGAGAGTGAAAGACTCGAACAGAAAAGCAATCCAACAACTTGCAACCCTGCATTGTAACTAGCAAAGCATAATTATCAACATTATCATCATCGTTATTAGCTTTAGACATGCCTTAAACCATGGCTGTCTTTTCTACACATAGTATTAAAGCAATGAAACAGCACCTTATTTGGCTCTTCTTCAGGCGTTCTGTCTTTTTAGACACTTTAACAACTCATCAATCCAAGCATAAAGTAACAGGAACCAGTGGACCATTTCAACCCCCAAATGATTAGTATCCCATTATTCTATTGGGTAGTGTTTGTTTCACCTCTCTCTCTCTCACCTCTCTCCTCCTCAGAGCGTTAGAGAAAGAGAGAGATTCCATAGGGGCTCTTTAATTAACTTTTGCCAGTTTTCTACATATGGCCAAGTTAGCCCAATGATTCAACAATTGTTTGGGCATTCTTATTTTATAGATCAGCACATGGTGCTGGCTAACACTATTTTGGACTTACATAAAACATTAGGCCATATAATTCTCAAAATTACTTTTGCCTTATTCTACTTTTTCTTTTCTTATCAAACACATCGGAATAAAAATGCTCCTTATAGCATACATCATTGCACATTCACAATACCTTTAGTTACACTGACCACCTCTCTTTAAATTATAATTGCGATCTCTCTTATAATCTTAAAAATAACATTAACCACTCTGATTAGTTTTGTTGATTTATTGAAGACCTAAAATGATAATTATACTGTCATACCTAATATGCTTTTACTATTATTTAATATAAAACTCATTTTGTTTCAAGTCTTCCAAGGGCAAAATTTGATATTAAGTTAATTTAAGCATGATATCAGCAAACAATACTGGTAGTCCTGTTATTTTTTAGACTATAGGGGAAGGTCCTTATTATTTAGACATTCTATAGGGAGATAAGTATAATTTGAGGCAAGTGTAATATACCCTTTTTATATATAACTTGAGTCGTAATTATTCAATTTATATATAGAGGTTAGCACTACGGACCAGTTTAAGTGTTTTAGAATCATATATGGGACGACCTTGTGGGCGGGTGTGTGTGAGCCTGTATAAGTGGCACCAGTAGACTACTACACTGGGCGATGACGGGTGTGTGTGAGCGTGTGCAGGTAGCACCAGTAGGCTATCACACTGGGTAAGTTACAGGTGCACAATCTCACATCGCCGGGGTGTGGAGGGGACAAGTGCTATATATAAATTCAGCACCCTTCTATAACACAACGCGTTTTAAAGTCGTGAACCCATCAGAACTCCGTAATTAAGCCTGCTTAACCCGGAGTAGTACCAGGATGAGTGACCCCCTCAGAAATATCTGATCCGGGGGAGCCAATAAGGATAATATTGTATCTGGATAGGATGAGGGTCATTACAAATGGTATCAGAGCCTGACCTAACCGGAAGTGTGGCCAATAAGGACAATCTTGACCCAACCGGAAGTGTGGTCAACGAAGACTTTGGGCCCCAAAGGGGGAGTGGGTGATTGTGGCTACCTTGGGTGTGTGTGAGCGTGTGCATGTGGTGTCAGTAGGTTATCACACTGGACAAATTGTAAGTGCACAATTTCATATCATCTGATAAGGAAAGAGCAATACTTTACGTAGATTTAACATTTTTTTTATGACACAATGAATTCTGAACTGGTGAAGGTTGTTCCAATATCCACCCACGACTGGTATACATTGCACCAGATAACAGATCTAGTAGACTCTCAGTTTTTTTAATTAAGGCCTAATGTACAAAAAGTATATGTTTAAGTTTATATATTAAATTGAATGTATAGTTTGTACCCGTGTGCGTGTGTGTGTGTGAGAGAGAGAGAGAGAGAGATTTGTCCTCACTTAAACACTTTCTAGGATGTTAGCCTCTTTAACTTTCACAACTCCACACAAAGCCATTTGAATAAAGTTACATCATGACCTTGGCCAAACAATAATAATAATTCAGCAGCTTAAGATGACTATATATGAAAATACAAAGCAGCAAGATTTACATCTGGTACAACTACTTCTAGCTTTTGATTAAAATAAGTAATTTCCCCTTCTTTAAATAATTACATTAATATTTTTCATTATTCTAGCGTTAGTTTGCCGGCACTAACCTGTTTATTCTCTATATTGCCAAAGTGCCCCTATATATATACCCTTTTCAACTTTTAAAATAAAATTAAAACAACAAATTCAATTTCAACATTTCACAACCTAAATAACAAATTCGTCTCATCATTTTTGTTAGTAGCGAATGTTACATGATTATTTGGAAGAACACGAGTGGTTTTATGATTTTACCCTTTTATTTATTTATTTACTTTTAGGTTTTCTTAATCTTTTTCAGTAGAATTAGCTACCCCTTCTTGTCAATCCCTCTTTTTATTTCTGTATTTACGAGTCAATTTCAACATTTCACAACCTAAATAACAAGTTCGTTTGATCAGTTTTGTTAGTAACGAATGTTATATGATTATTTGAAAGAACAAGAATGATTTTATGGTTTTATTTATTTATAGGGTTTTCTTAATCTTTCTCAGTTGGATAGCTATCCCACTTTTTGTCAATCCCTCTTTTTATCTCTGTATTTATTGATCAAGTTAAAACAGCCCACAGATGCATAATATTCTAACATGTCCCACATAAAGTAAGATAATCAACACATAGAAAATAGTGTAAAAGATGAAAGCTACTGCATCAAAGTGGAATCATCCTTCTTCAAATGATTCTTACTTTTGTTTACATACACCACTTGCTCTTCCCTATAGGAAGAGAATCCATCTTTAAATTCAACATCTATTTCGTACTCATCCCTTAGCTTATACGGAAGCAAATACAGACACGGGACACAAATACAACACGATATCAACACAGCGAGGTCACAATCACCAATCACCAAGATCATGAATAACGTTAAATGACCAATATGTATGTATTGGCATGTATCCATTTTGTAAATCATCCATGAGTTACAAAAAGAGTACTATTTGGTTAATTCTCTACCTATATTGTATCATATATACTTCTTTATGTATGCATACATATACACAATGACAATATATATATATATATATATATATATAGACATAAACAAGCAACAAACAATACAAGAAAATTGATTTGAAAACTAAGTAGTACTTGTCCATCTCCTCATGAGCCCCATCATGACCTCCACCAATGTGACATAATTGTATGAACTATAAACGAATGCACTTTATAATTATTTAAACAAAACATGATTATCAATGTCGTAAGCATAATCATTATCTTTTGATTAATTTAACTATCAAGTAGAGTTAGTAGACAAATTCAGGGTTTTAATAATAATTAATTAATTAAAGCTGGGCAAGTCCACCGGACACTAATTAAGTTTTAAAAAGCTAAATAATGAAAGAGCAAGTCGGCTGACAAATTAGGCCTTTCCACGCGTCAAGATGTGCGTGAATTATAAGTTGATGGCCACTAATCTGTCCTTAATATAGATGAAAATAAGCATATAATTAACAAAAATTATATTTGTGTGTGGTATATATATGGGTCAACTGCAGAAAAATACCCCTAATATATCAAATTTGTGCAAATAGGTCCTATCCACATATTTAAAATAGAGTTACACTAAAATGCCCTTACTTTGACATTTTATAATAAAAAAATCATTTTGTAAAATGACTAAAAAGTACTTTGTGCAACCAACCTGGAAGGGGATAAAATATTACTAATCTCATAGTAGAGGGATATTATGTGCACATGAAATGCAATATATATACATATACATACATATATATATATATATATATATATATATATATATATATATTATATATGAAATTATTGAATTCTTTATAATTGTTACCTATAAAATTATTGAATTCTGATTCTTTACCAAAATTATTGCACATGAAATGCAATAATAAATCAATTCTTTTTTATTTATACCCTCAATATATATATATATATATATATATATATATATATATATATAATTATTTATTTTGGCACAATTTTTGTATTTACGCTAGGATTCTTTATGTCAGACTAAAAAAATAATTTCAAATGAGATTGAATTTAAAAATATATATCATAGAAAATTTTCGACAATTTCATACCCGAAATGAATAAATAATTAATTATTACATTTCATGTGCAATAATTTGGTAAAGAATCATAATCCAATAATTCCAAATGTAACAATTATAAAGAATTCAATAATTCTATAATATATATATATATATATATATATATATATTATATTGCATTTCATGTGCACATAACACCCCTTATTATAAGATTGGTAGC